CGATTATGAATAATTAATTAATTAATGACCAATTAATTATTTGTAGCCTACCGTTTAAACTACCTGACCTGCATGATCTTTGTTTTACCCATAAACAAATCATACAGTAAATGAATAAAGGCAAGATACACACATAATTACCACCTGTCAATCACTTTTTCTGCGGGACTCGTGAATAGGCAGTGATCTGTGTCGGATTAATGGCGTCAGTAAAAAAAGACGCACAACCAACAGGAACCAGCCAACAGTATCTGTGGTGTTCGCTAAAATGACAAAGAACAAGTGAGTGAAAGATTGAAGCAGTCCTCTGACTGCCTGGACCTGCTGTCTCGAGCGCATGGCTGCGAGTGCGTCTGTGTCTGTGTGGTCACGTGATGTGCATTTTCAGAGGTAGAGAGGAAGGAGGGCTGCTCAGAAATGCTACACGCCACTGTGGATGTCAAATCGTTGTCGTTCTAAAATGCCATTTAAAAACAAAGACAGTGTAAACAGGGCCTGAGTGTTTACTTTTCTCGAGCGGATTTGCAACGGGGGCGGGCGGAGGATCACGATGCCGGTGTTGTCTATCGAACGAACCGTACGTAATACGTACATAGCAGAGCTTGCAAAACTGTGTTTTTTTTGTCGACAACACGAACGTTGTCAACATAACTCACTGGAAATCCAAAATGCTTTCACACCGGCAACTTCATTGAAAGAGGAGAGGGTTTAAGCTCTGTCAACGGGTCTCCTGCTTCTGCAGTTTAACAAGCACTTCAACAAGCCTGTTATTTTCCCGCTTGGCAAGCCAAGCTGACGTGATATGGGGGCGTGGCAGCATCGACGATTCTATTTTTTGATTCGATAATCGAAATTGAGCATAAATTTCGATCGATTTCGATTAAAAATCGAAATCGTGACACCCCTAGTGTGTGTGTGTGTGTTTCAGCTCAAAATACACCACAAATAATGTTTTATAACCCTTTTAGACTGCTGCATTTAGGCTTTGATCCTTATTGTGTAATTTTGGCGACTGTCGCTTTAAATTCAAATGAGATTGCTCATTTTTTAAAAAGAGGGCGGAGCTACAAAGCATATGTCTCAGCATAGTGGCAGATTCATAACAGGACTAATCTCATATGCTAATGAGGGAGAGATGGTCACCGGTGGGTGGGGCTTTTCCCCTCTGATAAAACGTACAAAGGGAGAATGTCAATCAAAGTGTTTCTGCAGTCTGATTATTCACCTTATTCTCTGTGTACGAGCGGGTGCAGCCATTTTAATATTTTTGGCTCGAGACATCCGGTCTCATTTACTTACTCATTACTCATTACATTATTAAGGTGGTGAAACTATAAATTTGTGTCAATTTCTCTTGGCTGATAAGATACACACCCAAGTACACAACCTTCCTGTGTAACTCCCAACGATACTTCCAGGTTTCTTCCCACCGCAGCCTTGATTTCACTTTTAAAAATGGCGGCCGCGTGAAATTAGTCTATTTGCATACAGCGATCTGATTGGCTGATGCTTCCGTCGGCGCTTGAAAAGTTGAGAAAGTCCCAACTTCTGCAGGGCTCGAAATTAACCTTTTTTCTTGGTATCACCGGTCCTCCTAACTGTAAAAATTTAGGTGCATCAGCCAAAATTTAGTCGCACTTATAGGCACCGTTACTACAAGTTTTATACAAACATATTTGTTGCATTTGAAATTAACAGTAATCAAACTAACAAGCAAAAAAAAAAAAAAAAAAAAAAAAAAAAAAAAAAATATATATATATATATATATATATATATATATATATATATATATATATATGCAAGCGTGAGCAAAATATGTCTCAACGAAATCCAGTTATCACAAGAAAATAGATTTTTATAACATTACTGAGTGACCAAAAGGTACACGGAGCGCTCACCGGCCCTGCACACACTGCTTGACATGAATGAATCTGTTAACGATATAACTGTGTTGTTCTCACGGGTGCTGTCTGATATTGCACTGATGTTTTTGGCGTATACTGTAACTTATTATATGCGTAGGTCATGTTAATAGCAATACCTAGCAATACTCTTATGAGTGTAAGCCCGTTTGCGATGGTGTACGTGGTGTTAAATTTTACATATAGCTGCCATTGCACGGCGGACAGCATCTGGCGATTATATGCGGGATTAAACAGAAGCTCTTGTGCAAGATGTGGCAAACAGTTACCTGAAAATTCCATCCCACAGACTTTTCATAGCGGACTTGAAGGCAACGGAAGTCTTTTATCCACTCTTGGAAAAGTGTACATGGTGGATTACCATTCAGCACATGATCACTACTAAGATGTGTCATTATTTGTAACTTTAGATGTCATGGTTTCTAAAACAAAATCTGTCAGTGTAATCTTCATTCTCATCTTCAGCGCTTTACCGTTTTTCGTGGTAGTAGCTCTCTCTGTCATCCCAAGCCAGAAGGCATAGACTGAGTGATTGACAGCTGATATTTTAGTGCTAGAGCAGTGGACCAATAAGAAGAGCGTGAAGGCGGGGCAAGCATTAAGGACTTGGCTTTTGTTTACTGCAGCAAGTTGACATGACAACTGTTTTAAACCATTCCTGAGCGCTGCGTTTCGAGTTTCAAGTGCAGAGATGCACTCTTTGTGAATGTCTCCCGAATCTGCACATGTGGTGAACATTTTGCAGTAGAAACTGGTCGCACACAACAATTTTTTGCACTCGCACACAGGCACTCAGAATTTCCGATTCTATGACTAGGAATTTCGATGACTAGGAATAATACGGTCAAACTACTTCCTCTACAAACAAGGGTGTTCATGACTATACAGACAAAGCAGAATAATAAAGTAAGAAAGCATCAGTTTGCAACATCAAGCGGCTTAACGAGCTGTTTTTAACGTCTAAAAATGAATGGAAGCAGACCGGACGTCTCGAACCAAAAAGATTGAAATGGCTGCACCCGCTCCTAAGTATAGAATCAAGTTAATATATACACTATTCATTCATTCATTCATTTTCTTGTCAGCTTAGTCCCTTTATTAATCCTGGGTGGCCACAGAGGAATGAACCGCCAACTTATCCAGCAAGTTTTTACGCAGCGGATGCCCTTCCAGCTGCAACCCATCTCTGGGAAACATCTACACACACATTCACACACACACTTATACACTACAGACAATTTAGCCTACCCAATTCACCTGTACTGCATGTCTTTGGACTGCCCACGCGAACGCAGGGAGAACATGCAAACTCCATACAGAAATGCCAACTGAGCCTAGGCTCGAACCAGCGACCCAGCGACCTTCTTGCTGTGAGGCGACAGCACTACCTACTACGCCACTGCTCCGCCCAATATATATACTACAATATATACACTACACTGCGTGAAACGTGCTAGATAAGTTGGCGGTTCATTCCGCTGTGGCGACCCCAGATTAAGCCGAAAAGAAAATGAATGAATGAATGAATGAGTTTAAAGCAAATGCAATAGAGTGACAATCTCACATCAAAATGATTCGAATGTAAAAGTGAACTCGTTGTTGATGGTGTAAATAAAGCAGTGTGTTAGTGATAAGGGAGTCACACGGCTCTGTATTGTATTCAGTGTGTGTGATGGGGGTTTTTAAATGACATAAGAGAGGAAGAGCTGGGGAATTCAGTCAAGGTCACGGCTCCTTCCTTAGAGCACGCACACACACACACACACACACACACACACACACACACACACACACACACATATACACATGTTTGATTTAATGAATCGTGGGGACATTCCATAGGTTTCCACTGTTTTTATACTGTACAAACTGTATTTTCTATCACCCATACCCTCACAGGAAGCTTTGTGCATTTCGTCATCTGATTAGAGAACAAAATGTTAGCGTCTCGAATGCAATTATATATTTTCCCTATAGTATTTATAGTATTTATAATATAGTATTTTCTCTATTATAGATTTTTCTCTATAGTAATTTTTATTTTTATTGTACAGAATATGATAGTCCAAGCTGATAAATGTAATGGTTAAATTATTATTATTATTATTATTATTATTATTATTTTACAAGGTAATAGACCAAAAAATAATTTATTGTAAGCTACACAATAATAATCAAAATGAAAATGCAAAATATGAAAATATAAACAAGTTTATTTTCAGTTTGACAGCACGGCGACACTTCTTGTTTCTAGATGTGAGCAGAAACAATAGAAAGATCTTAAGATGTTGTTATATGATATAACAACGTTATATAACGTTGTTATATGACGATACAATATTAATGTGATTTTTACATTTGTTATGATATTAAAAGGTATTATATAAATATAGCTATTTAATATATTATAAGATAAGGTGCGGTGACATAGTGGCTGAGTGATTAGCACTGTCACCTCACAGCTAGAAGGTTGCTGGTTCGAGCCTCGGCTGGGTCAGTTGTCATTTCTGTGTGGAGTTTG